CCCCCCCAAGATCTATATGTTCGTGCCCTGTTCATGTCTTCCACTCATATATTCCTCATCCTCTTCTTTGCTCTCCATTGCCCTCCCGCTCCCAGGTGGCGAATTGTTCCAGTCAGATACGGGGCGACATGTTCCAAGGGGCGACGTGCTCCAGATCACGCAAGGGCGAAATGCTCCGACCAGAAACGGGGCGACAGGCTCCAAAGGGCGAAGCGCCCCAGATCACGCAAGGGCGGAATGCTCCAGCCAGAGACGGTGCGAAACGCTCCAGATACATAGGGGCGAACTGCTCCATCCAGAGACGGGGCGACATGCTCCATCCAGAGACGGGGCGAAAGGCTCCAAGGGGCGGAACGCTCCAGATACATAGGGGCGAACTGCTCCATCCAGAGACGGGGCGAAATGCTCCATCCAGAGACGGGGCGAAAGGCTCCAAGGGGCGAAGCGCTCCAGATCACACAGGAGCGAAATTCCCCAGTTCTGTGTTGCATTGCGTTGGATTGCATTTGCATTGTTGCAGTAGAATGCTTTCCAATACAATACGTGCATGCTCGACCTTCCCGTCCTCATCAATCGCATCCTCCTCCCCCTCCTCCTCTTTTTCCTCCTCCCCCTCCCTCCTCCTCCTCGCCCTCCCCCTCCCCATCCCCCTCCGCTTGTTTTCCTCCCCCCCCTTCCCCCCCCCCCTCCCCCTCCTCCTCCTTCTCCGCCTCCTCCTCATCCTCCCCCCCCCTCCTTCTCCTCCTCGTCGTCGTCCTCCTCCTGTACCTCCTCCTCCCCCCCCGGCCCCCCCCCGCCCATGTCTCTCTTCCTTCTCCCCTTCCTGCTTCCCTCCTCGCTTCTCGCCCTCCCCTCTCCTCCTCCTCCTCCTCCTCCTCCTCCTCATCCTCCTCCTCGCTTCCTCCTCCTCCTCCTACCTCCTCCTCCTCCCCTCCTCCTCCTCCTCCCCTCCTGCCTCCTTCCCCCGCCCCCCGCTCCCCCCTGCCCCTCCTGCTCCTCCTCCACCCCCCCCGCTCTAACGCCCCTATGCCCGCCCCCCTCCCGCCCCCTACTCTCTAACGCCTCCCCCCCCCCCCCCCCTCCCCCCCCCCCGCCGCCCCTCGTACCCCCTCACCCCCACTCGCCTTCCACGCAACTTTTCTTCACGTTGCAACGCGTTCTGGCCCGAGCCTGCTTGGACGCAGAACTCGCGGCGCAGCTCCCACGAACCCTCGCGGCAGCAATGCCGACGATGCTCCGCCTCGCCCCCTGGTGCGCCGCCAAGGCGCAGCACCCGCTCCTCAACAAGCCCAACGCCGACATGACGGCGGCGGCGGCTAACTGGGGCGTCGCGTGCGACGGGGCAAGCGGAGTCGCGCCCCGCTTCAACCCTGAGGACCCCTCGTGGGACCCCCGGAACTGCCTCCGCTTGTTACTCCGCCAGCGGTTCCACTGGGCGGGCGACAAGCAAGAGTTCGACGCCCAGGTGGCCCGCGAGATCGGCGGCGACGCGCGGAGCATGGCCACGGACGCCCCTGCGGCGTGGACGGCGAGGCCCGAGCAAACAGGAACAATAACATACGCACGCACCAAGCGACAAACAAAACAGTTACGTAAACCACAGCAACATAAACCACGAGGCTCTTGCAGCTCGCCATCCAGACCACCACTTTGTACGGCTCCACCACGGTCGGTTATTTTTCTCTGCGTCTGGCACCAGGATGGCCCACTGCCACATCGGGGACGCACCCATCCAGGTATGGCGCAAGTCGGCTCAGACGGGAAGCTACACGCGGCTATTTATCACCAGGGACCACCACGTCCGCATCGCCACGGCTTCAGGCGAGGTGATCGGTCCGAAGCAGGTCGCGTTTTGCATGGCGTGGCCAGGGTTGGCGTTGATCTGGAGCGCGCCGTGGCGCAGGCCGACTACGGCACCGTCAAATTAAACCCGAGAGACATCATCATCTGTTGCTCCGACGGCATCGTTGATAACGTGCCTTACGAGAGCTTCAAGGCCATACTCACAGGCACCGATGGTGATGTTCACGCCGCGGCCGACCAGATGGTCAAGTGCGCGCAGCTGCACGGCGCGCCCAAGCCCGACGACATCTCGATCGTGATCGGCGTCGTCGGGTGCGCGTGGGGCCTCGGATTTTCTCGACGAGCGCATTTGGACCACCGCAGACACAAAAGGGACCCGCGAACTAGATTGAGCAACCGTAGTTGATAGGAACAACACTTCCTGGCCGCTTTCCGTGTTTGCGTGGTCGCGAGACCCTGGGCTCCTTCGGCAAAACCGCCACTGTTGCAACCGACGCGCGTGCCTCGAGAGCCAGAGACCAATATGAGAGCCACTGCAACATGGCACACTTCCGTTTGTTAACCAGCGGGTTTTTGAATGGCGGCCCGTAAAGTCGAGGGCATGGTTGTTCCTCTGCTCGCGGCTGTCGGGCGGTTCGTCTGCCCCCCCCCAATCCCTTCCCTCGTCGACGGCCGTGCTTCTAAGCCCTCAACAGGCGTCGTGGCGATCGACTCGGATTCGGACTGAGGCGGCCGCCGCCGTCGTGGGCCAGGCGCTGCGCAGGAGTCTAACAGCTAGCAGCGGGTGCTAGGCGAATTTGCTCGGGGAGGCATGCAACCATTTGGGGTGCATCCAGATCGCTGCGCGGGGTCGACAAAGGGCACGCGTCTGACTTCGCGTGGCTGTTGCGCGCGTTGCAATCGTGAACGTAGCATGCGCGGGGCACCCTTGCGTCCTTGCCTCTGCGGCTCGCCGTTGGCCAGCCATGACATTGGAAGCCGCTAAGCGGGCGTCCATGGGAATTGCGTCGTTGCCGCGCTGTTAACACCGCCAACGCGCGGCTTGCTGTTGCGTGCGCTTGCGCAGCAGCCACGCGCACGCAGAATGCCTGAACGGTCGCCGAACGCTGCTATTTTCTAAGATTCTTCAGGCAACCGAAGGAAGGTGGCCACCAAACACTGCTAACATCTAAGATTTCTAAGATTTCCGCAACCATCCCAAGGCCCTGCGGAGCAGCCGCGCGCACACAGCAACCCATAATGGTCGCCAAACACTGCTATTTTCTAAGATTCAAACAAAAATAAAAAATATAAAACATCTAAGAATTACGCAACCATCCCGGGGCCCTGCGGAGCAGCCACGCGCACACAGCAACCCATAATGGTCGCCAGACACTGCTATTTTCTAAGATTCCGAAGGCAACCGAAGGAAGGTGGCCACCAAACACTGCTATTTTCTAAGATTTCTAAGATTCCTAAGATTTTCGCAACCTTTCAGGCCAGCCTGGGGATGGTTGCGGAAATCTTAGAAATTTTAGAAACCTTAGAAAGAAAAAACAGTGTTTGGTGGCCACCTTCCTTCGGTCGCCTTGGGAATCTTAGAAAATAGCAGCGTTTGGTTGCCATTCAGGGTTGCTGCGTGCGCGTGGCTGCTCTGCAAGGCCTTGGGATGGTTGCGGAAATCTTAGAAATCTTAGAAATCTTAGAAAATAGCAGTGTTTGGTGGCCACCTTCCTTCGGTTGCCTTAGGAATCTTAGAAAATAGCAGCGTCTGGTGGGCATTACTGGCCACCAACACAAACAACGCAAAGCTTCCTTAGAGGAACTTAGTCTTCAGACCCCATCAAAATATACATCTTGGGGGGGTGCGACCATATATATATATATATATATATATATATATATATATACATACATACATACACAAACATACATATATATATATATATGTGTGTATGCATATATATATATATATATATATATGTGTATGTGTATATATATATATATATGCACCCACGGTGATTTCTCGAGGGCCCGCTGAGTTCCCAAGGCCTCGGTCACCGACAGAGCCACCACCCCGGCGGCTCCTTGGTCTGAGCCAAAGGCCGTGCGACGGGACACGCAGAAAAGCTGGAACAGCCACGAGCGAGGAAGGCAGTGCGAGGCCATGCGGCCTAAAGGGAGAGGAGAGCGACTGAGCCCTAATGCGAAAAATGAAACCTCAGAGTGAGGCCACGTCTGCATCGCATTGTCAGGGTCAGGGGACATCTTCTGTCCTCGCCGGCGAGGGCGCGGAGGCCTCTCGGGGCCCGGCCGGCGCCGCGGGCGGGGGAGGCCTCCCAGGGCGCAGGTCGGGCATGTCCTCCTACAGGCACACTTTGGCAGACAAATCATACGAAGAATCGCCAAGATTCACAAGAGAGAGCGCGAAAAGTCGTCCCCAGACTATTTTGGTGCTATGCTTGAACACCCAGACCCCCGACGTCCTGATTTTTTCACAGCGTCGACCCCCAGAGGTCTGGACCCTTTCCCCGGGACCAGTTTTCCATCCTGAGTCGTTTTTCGACTGTCCTGAATCGTTTTTGACGGTTCCGAGGCCCAGCGAAAGCCGCCGGAGGCTGAAAATAACGAAAGACTTCCCGTCGCTTTCTGCATCACAACGCGAGGGGGTCTGGGCACTCTTCCTGTAGAGGGACACGCCCGACTTGACGATACCGAAACCCTGCCGCGCCCCCCACTCACAGACTCGCGCGCGGCGTGCCCTGCAGCGCCACTTCCGAAACCGCGCCCTGCAGCGCCGGAGCGCCGGCGCCGCAGCGTTCGCCGCGGGGCCGCGCCTCTGCTGCCGGCGGGCCTGGGCCCGCGGGCAGCGGCGGGCACCGCGCGGCGCCGCGGCCGAGCGTCGCGGGCGCGGGCGCGAAGGCCTCTCGGGGCCCAGCCGGCGCCGCGGGGGATGCCTCGCTGGGCGCGGTCGGAGGAGGAGGAGGAGGAGAAGAAGGAGGAGGAGGAGGAGGAGGAGGAGGAGCAGGAGCAGGAGCAGGAGCAGGAGCAGGAGAGCAGGAGGAGCAGAGGAGACGGAGGAGGGAGGATGAGGAGGAGAAGAACACGAGGAGAGAGAAGGACGGGAGGGGGAGGAGGAGGGGAGGGGGAGGAGGAGGAAGAGGGAGGAGGAGGAGGATGAGGAGGAGGAGGAGGAGGAGGAGGAGGAGGAGGAGCAGGAGGAGGGAGGAAGGGAGGAGGAGGAGGAGGAGGAGGGGGAGGAGGGAGGAGGAGGGGAGGAGGAGGAGGAGGGGGAGGGAGGGGAGGAGGAGAGGAGGAGGGGAGAGGAGGGGGGAAGGGAAGAAGGAGGACGGGGAGGAGGAGGAGGAGGAGGAGGAGGAGGAGGAGGAGGAGGCTGGCTGGCTGGCTCTGCGTTGGGCCTCGGGTTGATGAGTGCAACCGCTGAAGCATATCAGAAACAAGCATGCGATATGTACGACCTGCAGTGCGCGCGCGATACGAAATGAGAACGTGTCCTCCCCCATGGGAGCCCCAAATTGCATTCGTTCGACCATCTGCGGCTTGACTCGAGAAATCTGATTTGCTCGGTCAGGCTAAGTTTCGAATAACGTGATAAACCAGCTGATGCTACATTGTTCCGCTGCTGGATATGCTGCTGCACGCTGCTCGGAAAACGAATGGATGGGGGGCCAAAGTCGGCGGAGGAGCGGGCAGAAACCGACCACTTTGGAATGGCGCGCCAGTGGGGCGGCTCCTCCGCACTGCTGCGCACTGCACCAGCCGCCTCCGCCAGCACGCTGCTTACAGCGCCATCTCGTTCAGCGCCAGCTGCAGCAAGCGCCCCTGACGCCCGCGCGGGCCCACGCCAGGTCTCATCTCCGCGCCCAGCTGCTCCGCGCACGCCAAGAACGTCTTCTCGGTCGACGCGTCGCTGATGCACAGCACGATCTTGGCGTTGCCCTCCATGTAGCAGGAGCTAATCCTGAAGCCCCTCACCAGGAACGTCAGCTCATCGATGGGCATGGGATCGAGCTTGTTCCACACCTCTACACACCTCTAACCACGCGGTCTTGTTATCCATGCCGACCTTGTCGCCCGCCCCCTCGATCGCGCGCGCGACCTCGAGGAACGCCTGAAAGCAAGCGGGCCGCACGATCAGCTCGGGCGCCTTGTGTTCCGTCGGGTTGTCCATGTGCTGGTCCCTGATCTGTATGGGGTTGGAGTACAAAGGTACAGAACCCCTGATCCGTTGGTAGAGGATAGGAGGGAAAGATGGAGATCTTTTCCTCCTGCACGATCAAAGGTCTGATCGATGCCAATCCAATACCTGAGCCCAAACGGCCAGGAGCAGGAGAGTAAGGATAAGGAGTATATATGAGGGTATTATACGGGTTCTATTCACACGCCCCCCCCCCCCCCCCCCCCCCCCCCCCCCCCCGAATCCCGCCCGCAAGGGCAGGGCTCGGGAAAAGGAGAAAAGAACCTGTCACCCTTTTTACTCCTTAGCCATGTTAGGCAGCTGAGCGTAAAAATCTGCATCGCCTCAGCTGCGCCCCGACCACGACAGCAGCGCGCAAAAATGCATAGCACACCAGCTGGCGCAATCAGGCAAGGAAAGGGACGAAAGCACATCCAGGGCCCCTGTTTCTTCTCCAAGCGCGCTTTGGCGCCCCCTCGGTGCGCCCCCCTAAAAACACTTCGGCGCTCGAGGGCGGAGAAGAATGAGGCACGGGTGGGCGGAGCAAGAGATCTGAGCACATTGAAACAACATCAGAAGCTGCTGCGTCGGCGACGCAGCATGGGTTGCCACCAGCTTTCAAACTAAAGCTGGGCGTCAGATCATTCGCAACGCAAAGTCGTCCTCAAAATATATCGCACAAAGGACCGAAATAATGCAATGTAGAGTCGCGTTGATAAACACGGTCGCGTTAAAAAACACGTATACCCAAAGCAAATAATGAATCTAATGCAAAGGCGTGTTGATGAACACGAAAAGTTGCATGAACAAATTCTGCAATCGGCTACTCCCCATCGGCGATGCGCCTCAGGAGTTTGCCTCAGGTGTCACAAGATGTATGTAAGTGGCAACTTATCATGTGTAGTGAAATGGCCAAATGTTGTATGTGCATTTACTGCTCGAGGCGAGCTCTTGCAAAGATGAAGTGCAAGCCAACTCGAGCAGTGGGCCTCCTCGCGGCCAACACACCTAGGAATTGCCTGTCATGTGGAACCTGTGGTCCCACACTCTGTAGCCGTCGGTCCCGACGAAACTGGTCGCGTACGTCTCCCAAGGCGTCCTTGGGGTCCAGTTGTGGAACCGATCAT